TAGACTGGCTCTAATTACCTGCAGCTGCTCACTTTGCAGCTTTAACTCACTTAGCAATTACATTTTCTCATTTCAATAAATTATGTTTTTTTAAGCKGACTCAAAATAAAAGTCAGATCTATGAAATTTATTGCTTTTGGATGAGGAATATTTTTATAAAACAAATATTTCAGTGATTTKTTGTTGCAACCACTTGACAGAAATCAGTGTGATCACAGACAAATACCTTTGCTTTCATTGCCAAACAGCATTCTGTGTAGAAAACAACTGCCATGAAAAAAAAATCATAAAATTATTTGGATTTTCTTTTGATTGCTGGGATCCAGAATAACTTGTTTATGATCTTATACCTCTAACSTCTGATAGCAATGAGGGAACAGAGAAGTAAAAAGAGAAAAACTGGTAAGCAGCAGTGATCTGCTGCTTGCCTGAGGACTTTTCTCTCACCTGCACTTTTTGCTGGCGATGTAACAACAAATTTTACACCGTCTGGGACACAAATTGGCATTCTGGACTCTGGTTATTCCTGAAGTATAATCTAATCATAAAGACAGTGCCAGTGGGTTAGAACCGCCAACATTAAAAAGGACAGACGGMCATAAAAGTGAAATTTCACAACAAGTTTRAAAAACTTCACAGCATTTGCTGCAAGTCGTTTGAGCTAACTGAATTACTTCAACTACACGCTCTGTGGTCACTTATGAGTACAATATTATGTGCTGCAATAAGATTTAGCATGTTTTTACCTTTGAAGTCCGTCCAAAGATTTTAGCAGAGACGTTAGATGTCATGCTACAGGAGGTTGGCTGAACGAGTGCAGGGTGCATCAAATGTATTAATTTCCCTGAGTTATTTATGGAGGTGAAACGTTTTCAGGGCACACTTCATTTTCAACGTTTTTGGGTTAAGGCAAATTTAGGGGACAGAGCAGAATAAAAACTGAGACTAAAAATAAAAGAAAAACAGGTCAATCTATAAGTTTTGTTTTCCTCCCTTTCCTAAATTCAACTAAATTTTAGACGCTGAGCTGACGGATGGATCGAGGCCTCGTCCACAGGGCGATGCTCGGGTCTGTAATGGTGAAGGAGCTGAGCCAAAATGCTCAACTCTTGATTTACTGATGGCAACATTACAGCTATCCAAAACAGGTGTTAATGAAGTATTGTTCATGTTGCAAAGAGTTGCAAACCTTTATATCATATGGTTTATTTTAWAGATGTCTATAGTTATTTGCACTGAAGACCAGCTCTGTTAGAACAGTCTGTGGTCTCTTTGTGAAACACCCAAATCTGTCTCCATGATTCCTCCTTGTGCAACATATTRGCCAAAACAAAAAGAATGCATCAACAGAATTATTTTCTATTCAATTTCTTCTATCTTTAACTGGTTTAAATCACAATCCAGTTAAATACAGTATAATCTAATTTATTGGATAATGCTTTTTTTTTTTTTGCTCCAAAACAAAACCCAAACCAGAAAAGAACAATAAACCATGACAACAGCACACAGAACAATGCAGAACCCTTTAGATCATAAATAATCAAAAGGCTCACTAAAATGTCATGGACATCTGTGCAAAATGTTAAAGGTGGTAGTCAAAGAAGGAAACAAGTCCAAACACATTTTCTATAGTCACTAAAACATCCAACTTCACAGAGCAGGATACACTAAATTCTGCCCATCAGGAAGCATCAGACAAACGTTGTCAACATGAAAGGAAAAACACACATCTAATCTTTACCAYGGGAGACATGTGTTAATCCTTAAACTGTGCAAAATGACATCAGTGCCATGTTTAACTGCACACAGACTACAAGAGTTAAACAATATTTTAACAATGTTCCTTAGAAAAAAATGCACTGGACTTTTGCATAATTTTATTACARGACTAAGACTTTTGAGGTGTGACATGACTAATAACCACAAACATTTTGCAATTTATGATTTCTATGCTATGTTTGTGTCACAAAACCAATAAAGATAAAGATGTTAAGACTCAAATGCAAACTATTTAATGGAGAAAACAAACCTTTTCCTATCTCCACATGTTAACTCAAGAACACACTGACAACACAAGAACTGAAGGGGGGAAAGTAGCACAGCTGTAAGTAGAAACTGCTAAAACAACCATGAGGAACAGGTGTGCAGATTACAAATCCAGAGCAGGTGTGGCATACAAAAGAGATGATTTTATAAAGTAAAACAGGAAGTGAAGTGACACAGCAGAACAGCACGATGACTCRGTGGTTAGTGCTGATGCCTCACAGCAGGAAGGTCCTGGGTTTGATCACCTGAGGTCTTTCTGTGTGGAGTTTGCATGTTCTCCTCGTGTTTGCGTGGGTTTTCTCTGGGTACCAAAAACATGCACAATAGGCATGGGCGTAATTTGTAAGGGTTATGGGGGTTATGACCCCGCAATAATTTTATCCAGTCAATATAACCCCCCCCCCCCAAACACACACACACACACAC